GAGAGAGAGAGAGAGAGAGAGAGAGAGAGAGAGAGAGAGAGAGAGAGAGAGAGAGAGAGAGAGAGAGAGAGAGAGAGAGAGTGTTGGTGTACATGTTCCAACTATAGCAATGTTGCAACTTTTGTAGCAGTTGCAGCCACATTTGAGACATATGTAGGTCTTCCACACACTGCACCTGCATGTGCTGCAAGGTGCTGAAGCAAGTGCTGCACCTTTTGCAGGAGGTGCAAGCAGCACCTGCAGCACTTGCAGCAGCTGCTGTTGTTGCAGTCATTGTAGCACCTGCAGAAGCTGCAGATATAGGAGTGGCCACAGGCGCACCACTTGCAGCAACTGCAGTTGCATGACCTCCGGAAGTTGCTGCAGCTTCTGCAGATGCTGCAATGACCACAGCACCTGTGCAGCACAGATAGCAACAGCTGCTGTAGCCTATGGTCCTGTGCAGCAACGCCCCCTCCAAACCTCCCCGCCCTTGGAAATCCCCACCCCGAACCCCGCCCCCCACAGTCTGGTGAAGGATCAAACAATTTTGCTTTTGTTTTGGGGGGTGCTTTGATAACCATTTAACACCCCCTCGAAGAAAAAAATTATAACCGGGGTGTCGTTTTTTCTTTTTTCACCCCTCCAAAACCCCATAACCCGCCGCCCCTTTTGTTTTTTGTTTTTTTAATTTTTTTTTCCTTTTTTTTTTTTTGGGGGGGGGGGGGGCGGGCCCTGCACAGCCCGCGCCAGGACCCCAACCCGCAGCAGACCCCTCTTGGCGGCCACAGTCGAGCAAAGCTCGTGACCGTCCCTGTCATGACCGGGCCGCCCCGCCCATGGCCGATGACCGCATGCCCAATCAGCGTTGTCACCGGTCATGGACATTCATAGCTGATGGCTTCCACAGTTCGAGCAACATTCAGAAAGGGACGAGTATCCTAGGAGTCACGAGTGGTACAATAGGGAACAGACCAGCAGTGGTGACAAAGAGCTTTGTAACGATTCTAGAGGTAGATATGAGCCAAGTGGTTACACAGATTGTCGTGATGATTCTGGGGGTTGGAGTAAGAGCGACCCTCAGTCTTTCGTCAATGCAGGGAGTCAAAAGTCTTGGTCATCAAGCACACTGGGTATAGATGTACCAGTGACAGACCTACTCCACACAATACATGCCGATCGGATGCTTATGCTAAGAGGGTTTGTCTGAATCTCTAGAAAGCCATATGCAAGGAAGATGAGCAATAGCGAACTTCAGCAATCAAACAGCATCATGCACATAAGACCAGATAGTCGTGACCTCGAACCAAGAGCAGAATTGCATCACGAGTTTCACCAAATAAGAGCACACCACAAGTTCATAATTGACTATGCTGGTATAGTCTCATCATCATCATCAATGAGAAACCAATGTTGATAACCTATCTGGCGCTCGGCGCCCAGACTACAGATGGCAGATCCTATCTAGCCTAGACTACAATTCCGAAGATAACGTCAACAGCTTTCCCGAAGTACGAGCATACAGTGACCAATGTCGCACGCTTCCAGCACCAGGTATGTCTCTCGCCTCACTCACAACCTCGTTCCCCAACACACAGATGCCACTTGCACCCAAGGACCACCCTGCGCCTCACCCAGCTCACAGCAGCGCAGCTCGGCTATGGCTGCCTGCCCCTTCCTGCTCGCCCGTGAGCGCGTGAGTGCCAGCCAGCTTTAGCGCAGCAGCGCTTGCACAGCATGCAGCCAGCACCTGAATCCCCAATGCGGAGGCAGGCCCTTTGCTATATGGAAGTGCCCTGCCTGCGTTCTGTCCCAGGCTGCGCTGGGCCTTTCCCAAGAAGCTTCCGGTTGGCCCCGGTATGCTGAGGCCCAGCCCGAAACAGATCAGGCCTAGGGCCTGAGGTGGTTGCTTGTGCCCAACTGCCTTCGGCCTGTGTTTGGCCCATACCCCGTATCCAGCCCAGGGCCTGCTTTCGATACATGCAAACAGGCGGCCCAGGGCCTGGATTCTTTCAACCAACTGGCGCTGTGCAACTGCCTGAATTTCCTTAGTTGCGCGGTGGCCGAAATAGAGGCCCTGAGGTCCTCGTCAAGCCTGCCTTCACTTAGGGCGGCCGGCGTGCTGCTGAAAAGGGCCTGAAATGGGCTAATAGAGGCTGTGGCCTCGCATTCCCTCCTCCATAGCTTCAACAGTCCTTTGAGAAGCTCAGTCTTCAATCATCGGGCGCTTTCCCTTCTGCAGAGATCTCTCATAGTGGGCTACAACTTGTGGAGCGGTCTGCATAAGTTCCTCCATGGTAAACCAGCCGTCCTCCTTCGGATCAGTATGATGACGGAACCGAACGCGGTACTGCAGCTTCGGTTTCGGAGGACGTCCCCTGCCTGTTGGTCTTGGAACTGGCAGCTCCCTGTGGTCCACGATATCATCGATGTCCACCTCTCCGTCCATGGTTGGGGGCAGCATTGAGCGACGAGAAGGGAACTGTTCTGTTTCCCTGAAAGGTGCAAGTTTGGAGGCGTGAAAGACAGGATAAGTGCGGAGATGACCAAGGATCCGGAGTACATAAGACGGCCCATCCGGATCTGTCCCGACAATGTCTAAGACCTCCCATGGCCCAAAGTACTGGGGCATGAGCTTGTGGGAAATCCCGTGCTCCTGTCCCAGTTTTGAGGACTTAACCCAGACTCTGTCCCCAACCTGAAATGTAGAAGGGCGGTGATGTTTGTTCTCAGATTCTATCATTGCCGCCTGAGCTTTCTGCATTTGCTCCACTGCCTGTTGCATCTTCTGCTCATATCGGTATGCCAATTCTAAAGCACCGGGTGCAGCAGTTGTCTGATTTTCAGGTAGTAAGAAGTCTAGAGGTAGTCTAGGTTTGAATGTCAGTAATTAGACTGTTAGGGCTCACTCCGGTGGCGTTGTGAACAACATTGTTATACAGACTGGCGATGAGAGCAAGCTTCTCGTCCCAATCGACCTGATTGGGCTTGATATAATGCCGCAATAGGTGTTGGACAACGCGATTCAATTGTTCGGCCTGGCCATTGGCCTCGGGGTGATTACCCGAAGTCATCTGCGGCTGCGTTCCCTGTTCGGCAGCAGCAGCCTTCCACAACTCACTTGTAAATCTGACATCCCTCTCACTCACAATGGACTTGGGTAGACCAAAGTCTCTTACCCAGTTCTCTTTGAACAGTCTGATAACGTACTCGGTTTTTGTTGTTTCCGGCATGGCTATCAACCTAGCATACTTACTAAATCTGTCCACGATGACAAAGATATGTCTCATCCCGCTCTTGCTGGTGATCAACGTATCCATGAAGTCCATGAACAGGCTCTCACTAGGTCTTTCCGGAATCGAAAGGGGCTTCAGGAGCCCAAGAGGAGGCTGAGTACGTGACTTGTCTCTCTGACAGACCTGACAAGTCTCCACGTACAGTTGGGCAGCTCGCATCATCGTGGGCCACCAGAACTGCTGCAGCAGATTAACTGCTGTCTTTTTATAGCCAAAGTGTTTGGTGGCATCATGACACTCTCCTAAGAATAAACTACGCAAAAAAAAATTATTTGGGACACACAATCGTTTATTCCCTACCTTCTCAAGGAACAGCAAGTCGTTGACCAACTCAAACTCGACAAAAGTGTTCACATCCTTCGCCTCAAGTTTGCGTATGATCTCATACATAAACTGGTCCTCACGATAGGCTTCCACCAAAGAGCGAGTAACATCATCCATAAGACCGAACTCAGTAATCAGCGGCCCTGAGAAATCGGGTCTACGCGACAGCGCATCAGCAACCTTATTGTACTCACCCTTAATGTACTGGGGCTCGAAGTCATACTGCTCTATGACTTCAATCCAACGCTTCAGAGCGTCGGAAAGCACAGGTTGGGTTCTCATCCACTTCAGGGTTTGATGGTCAGTCCTGACGTAGACAAACCTCCCAAGGAGACAGTGTCTCCAGTGGGTGAGCACCTTGTAGATCTCATAGAGCTCCTTCTCATAGGTGGACTTAGCCAACTTCTGAGAGAGCATCTTTTACTCTACGGGCCTCGAGTTTTTCCCCTTCTGTTGCGCAAGTACGGCGCCTATGCCATATTGGCTAGCATCCGTAGTTACTACAAATGGCTTGTCAGGATCAGGAAGTTTCAAAACCTCATGATGCGTCAACGCATGCTTCAGATGTCTGAAAGCAGCCTCGCATATGTCTGTCCACTCCCATGAGGTGTCAAGGCGAGTCAGGTCCGTCAAAGGGGCGGCAACTATGCTATAGTTCTTCACAAAGTTGCGAAAGTAGCCGGTCATCCCTAAGAAGGACCTCATCTCCGTCACAGACTGAGGACGCGGCCAGTCACGAATGTTGGCCACCTTCGCGTCATCGGGCTTTAATCCCTCCGCAGAAATCTCATGACCCAAGTACAAGACACGGGTGCGGCCAAACTCGCACTTCTCACCGTTAATCTTGAACTTGTGCTGTCGCAGAAGATTAAGGACTTTGTCCAAGTGCGCAACGTGCTCCTCCTCGACAGTCTTACTAAAAATAAGTATATCATCGAGGTACACGATGACAAATTTATCCAAGCAGTCATGAAATATCTGATTCATAGTGTGCTGAAAGGTGCTAGGAGCATTGCAAAGGCCGAAAGGCATCACCACAAACTCGTACAGACCGTACCTGGTCTTAAAGGCGGTTTTGTGTTGATCCTCGGGCCGGATTGCAATCTGATGGTACCCGGACTTCAGATCTATCTTACTGAAGTACCAACACCCTTGCACTCTATCTAGCAATCCATCAATGCGTGGTAGGGGCTCTCTGTTCTTGACAGTGATGGCATTGAGGCCCCTATAGTCAATGCACATCCTAAGTGTTCCTTCCTTCTTCTTGGGCACGAATAGAACTGGAGACCCATAAGGAGAAACACTCGGCCAGATCCACCCCTTTTCTATGAGTTCCTTGAGTTGCCGGCGAAACTCATCGAGCTCGCCTGGAGACATTCAATAGATCCTACCCTTTGGGATACCAGACTCCGGGATAATCTCTATCGCGTGGATGACCTCCCTCTGAACAACCCCTGTTGGCTCTTCAAATAGATCAGGGTACTTGGCAACTACTCCCTCTATCTCCGGCGGCATTTCCACCGACTCGCCTGCAGCAGAGACATAAACTAGATGCATACCCTCCTTCTGATTTTGCTTATAATAATTGTAGAATGCGGCCGCACACATGCATCCATGGGACTCAATCAGACTACTAGCTTTAAACTTATGTAATCTGGCAGTCCCCCCACCTGGCAAAGTGTGTTTGACCACTTTTCGGTCTCAGTCAAACTGGGATTGTGCCACAGAGAGGTAGTACATACCTAACAACATATCCATGGGGAGTTCATCACTTATTAGGAACGAGACGCGATGTCTCAATTCCCCTCCCGCGTACGGGAAACAACACTCAACATCTTGGAGGTAGTCATTGACTACCATGCGCTGTTTGTTGGCACAGGTCGACTCAGGCGCTGCACTTGCCCCTGTAAGCGCAGCCTCTCAACGCACGCGCGACTAATGAAGTTCCTTGTCGAGCAAGTGTCATAATAAGCCCCGGCCTTGCGGTCGCCAATGACCACCTCGCTGACAAACATCTCACCCTTCGGTTCTTTGACTAGGGCCGTCCAAGAAGCTAGCGGGTCTGATCTAGACCACTCCTCCTCTAGCTCCTCTAACGACGCAAACGCATTCATCGAACAGAGGCTCGATGGGTCTGAACGTGTTTGCAGGACGACGCTGGAGTCACTAGCTTGGGCCATCTCTCGAGATGGTGAGGGTGTATCCACCACCTCGACCCTAGTAGGAATAGCTACTATTCCTACTGGTCCGACGTGTTTCCCGGAGCAATGCCAAAAGTACTAGCTACATTGCTACCAACGGGATGGGAGGATCCCAACGCCTGCCCCATCGTAGGCAGGATCTCTCGGTCACCTTCTTATTATGGCACGTGAATTGGTTATGCCCGTATTGACCACAACGAATGCAAGTTTGTCGTGTATACCGATCTCTCCACACGTCCTCTGTGAGACCCGCCTTCTCCCATGGGGGAGCGTTGGGGTCAACTTGACTCCTTGACCGGGAGCCTCCACGACGTCTACCGGTCGCCTTGCCTTTCTGAGCTACGGCAACGACAACTCCATCCCCTGAAGCTTCAACGCTGCCAGTCTCTGAACCTACTCCCTCCTGGAAGTTGTCGTCTAACTCGATGGTTGAACCATCATTATTGACAAACATAATGTGACCCTTCGCCTTCCAGTTGGGAGGCAGCATCTTTCTCCTACCATCCGTAGTGGGTGCCTGCCCATGCCTTATCTTCGCCTCAAGGTCTAGGGCCTTCTTGCTAAACGAGGGGAAGTTGTGAACATTGATGTTGGCCTCACCTGCCAACTGATTCCTGAGAGGCATAGGAAAGCATCTCAGGTAGGACGTGAGTAAAACCTGGGGGTCATAGTGCACCCCAGGGACACAGATCAGATGCTCTACAGCGTCGGTGGCCTCCCTCACTGACTTGAACTGCCTTGTGTGCAGTGTCAGGATCGCATTAGTGGCCTTTTGGGCCTCCTGAGGATCATGCCACCTTTCTTCCACCAACTTGAGGACGTCATCCAATTGTTGGGTGACCGCCCAAGCGCGAAAGTCATAACCGTATCCCTGTAGCTGTAGTAAACGACTCAACCATCTTGCTGCACTACCCTCTAAGTAAGATGCAGCCACAAGCACTTCCTCGTGCGGCAAGGTGAGTTTACATTTGACATAGATCGGCACTGCCCTCAACCAAGTGTCGAGGTCTTCGCCCCTCTTATCCCCTGTGAAGGGTTTAGGAGCGGCGATGGCCGTCTTTGGTACCCACTGAGTTTGTCCCGGTCCTTGCATCCCATTGGGCTATGGACCCTGTGATGCAGGCGGCTGCACTGGCTGCAGGCGCTGTGTACCCTACGGCTGTATAGGCTGCGAGACAACAGGTTGCGCTGTAACAACAATCTGCAACGGAGGTTGGGAATACACTGGCTGTACAGGAACCTGCAAACTAGGACCTGCTGAGAGCCCCTTTTAACAACATGCCTAGGGAAACGGTCTGGACCGATGCTGGAGCGACATATGGGGATACCCCAGTCACCGGTGGGACAAAAGGAGGAGGATGTACAACGGGCCAGGCACCGGGCCCGGACGGTGATGGTGTCACATGAATCCGTCCGACTAATACAACCAGACTTTGCTGGATGTCCTGTAAGATCTCCATTTGGTGATCTTGCATGTCAACTACACTTGACAAGACCGACCGTATAGTCCTCACATCTTCATCCAAGTCCTCAGGGTCCATCTCCTCCAACTCACTAACGTCCGCTTGTCTCCGCTGCATCCTGGCTCTTCTTCTAATCATACTTTCTTTCTCTGCCTTAATCTCTCTCAAAGCCTGTTGTAGTTGTGCCTCGAGATCAGCTGCTCGCTGTATGGCGATCTCCTCAGGAGTCATCACAAGAGGTTGGTTTGCCTTACGCCAATGGACTGACTCAAAGCTTGCGCCATTGTTGACCCTATAGAGCCTGTTGACCCTACAAAGCCTGTAGACACTGCAGAGCTTGTTGACCCTACAGTTCCTGAACTACCTGCCTGAGAAGTCTGCTGCACAGAGGTAGCCATTGCTTCGTAAGTTGCGGCTTCGCTTGCGGGAGCGCCCTGCTAGCCTCCCCTGCTCTAGCCCTCCTCTGCTGCTGCTGCCTCTCTCTAAGCTGGCGGAACAGATGTCGGTTGCCCTCTGGTCCAAAAGCCAAGTGGGCGATCAGACGTCTATGTGAAGCCGGTCGTCCGGTTGTGGAACCTCCCTATCACTCATAAGCTACGACACTATACACTGTCTGCACTAGGACACTCTAGATGCCTACCGCAGCACAGTGCACAGACCAATTTAAACTAATTAATTGGTGGCTATGTCAGAGACCGTACACTCGGGCCCAAGAGGTAAGTCAGATTCCTACAAAAGTACATGGAAACAGTTCTAATTATGTTGTCTGTTGGATGTCAAATGGTTGTACGTCTAACTAATCAAAACATAAACATAAAATCATTTGTGTGGATGAGGACAGTATGGGATTTTTTTCTCAAACTTATCACCTGAAATCTACCCCTCCCTTAGTTCCCCTGGAATGTCACTTGACGTCAGCGTCCCTGAGCTATCCAGAGAGCAGTGTGTGACTAAAGGTGTGCACGGCCCACCCTTGTGCCCCGAGTAGCTGCAGAGTCGGCCATCCCTGCACTGTATTTATCCTCATGTGCACGAGCCTTACAACCATTGGCTGATCCAGAGGCACTTTAACGACCGCCCCCAAGTGTCATCAGGAATTATTTTACGTCGCAGCAGGACGACGATCACAGCCAATGGTTTCCCCTTCCGGTGTTTATTTAAAGACACCCGGTCTCGTCTCCCACTTAGGGTTGGCCTGCCCTTCAGTACCCATCTAACAGCGCAGCAAGTCGAACAAAGGGCAAGCAGCAAAGCATGCGTGCTCTACTCCCGGTGGGTTGGCATGGTGACCGTGACCCAGTGCTTCGTCCAGGGCCCTTCAGAAAGCTCCGCTCATCTTCTCCCAGATGCTCCACGTGAACATTGCCGACTCTCAAGGTTGAGCGCACTCGACACCTCACAATGAGAGGACTCTCAAGAAGGAACACACAACCTCACGGTAAGAAGTGTCGAAGAGGGTCGATAAGGTTAAGAGCAACGTACCTCAAATAGCTGCCCCCAACCACAGAGATAATCTCACCAGATGACCTGACGCCGATTGTGATGACCAGTCATTGCTTCGACACAACCAGCATTGCACGCCGTTCCACCTCAGCACCAATCGCACATCAGATAGTTTTCATCACACTGTCCAGAACCCACATTACACCACGTAGCCTTCCTGGCGATCCCCTCACCGCCTGGGTCGCCAC